CAGGGGACAGACGCTTAATGAAGGAGCTGCCCCCTGGTCATCAGTGGACTCCAACATGGGGAGCACCGCTCAGCCTTCATGCACTGGGTCTCTAGTTATGTATAACAGGATATTATAAAAATTAAATTATGAAATTTTTATTAAAACATTTCTTACATACCATTATATTGGCTGGGCCGCAAAAATATTCATTATGGGCCATATGGGGCCCACGAGCTGTGAGTTTGACATGCTTGACTTAGGAAGATTGGCTTTAGGCTCTGAAGGCTAACAGCAGCTACTTTAACTGCCCTCGGCTCCTGGCAGCATGCCCCAATTTCATCTTCTTAAGTTATAACTAAAGACAGTTAAACGCCATCGCCTGGAAGCAGGGGAGCTCCAGACAGCCCTGCCGGCTCATTAACCACAAGGAGAATGTTTAACCTTCCATCATCCAAGACAGTGAAATTAACAAGATGCTCATGTTTCACTTATCAAATTGACAGATATATTTTAAATTGCAATAAGTGGCATCCGTACACAGCTGGTCAGAAATGTGTATACACTTTCAGGAGAATCATTGGATAGTATCAATCCACGCCTTTTTAAAACGTGCTAAATTTGGACATAAAGAGGAAACCCCAAGGATGTTCACTACAGCAATGATTTTAACGGCAAAATGAAAATATTGGAATCAACCAAAAGGGCACATGGCAAGGAGTTGGTTAAATAAAGCAGAAAGTGTCTATTCATGAATGATAGGCAATCAAATGATGATGTAGAATAATGTAATGATACAGGAACATGTTTAAAATAGCACGTTAAATGAGAAAAGCAACTTACAGAATAGTATGATCTTATTTTTTTTTAATTTATACCTATACTAGTAAGCATATATAAATGTGTGTGTATAAATCCTGAAATAGATGTTTCCAGAAGTAGTGGTTATCTATGATTTAACAGTGAGTTCTGAGTTATTTTTACCTTCTGTATAGTTTTTTTCTATATTTTCAGCATTTTCCACCATGAATCTGCAATAGTTTATTATCAGAATTTTGGGAAAGGCTATCACTGTTCAAGGTGCCCCACAATCTCTAGGGTTCTGACCAGCCTTCACTTGGAAGGAAGGAAAGGAAGGGCAGGGACCCTAGACTCAGCCAGGACATTCCACAGAAGCAGAGATGGAAACAAACCTGAATGAAGTGGGACTGTCACAAGGACACAGGCTGCTCCACTATCTTGCCACAGTCTCCCAGCAGGAGGGGTGCCTCCTGCTCCCCTCCCCCATCTTTATACCAGCCCAGGAAATTCAGCTGGGGTTGGCACTCTTGGAAATGGGCAAGTATCTAGACGTGCAGATATATGTGCTTAGCAACTCACCAACCACCCAGAAGGTCAGCCAAGCCGTGGAGATGCTCAGCTTGGAGCCAACTCATGCTTGGGAAGTCTTTCGGCAGCCGGACCGACAGGAGTCATAAAGGAACCCATCCAAGAAAATGCACATATTCAACCAAGCAAGCAATGGCCCTTCAGAGAAATGCAATTGGCGCTGTTTAACTATTACTAGCACTTCCTTCCGTGAAAACAGTGGGAGAGGAGATAGAAATCGTGCAGCCTTGATTTAACGTAGTAAGCCTCCAAGCAATAGCAGAACTAGTTATATGAAAACAAACCAGCAAGACCCAAGAATCGTGGCATACGCACATGAAACAGCACAGCTCACAGCTAGACAAGGCTTGCAAAGCACTGCAACATGGGATGGTTCATGACTCAATGGCAATAACTAAACTCAACTCTCTGTTGAAACAAGAGACTGGACTAAAATCTGACCCCTGCTTGGTCAAGTGTTGCCTGGTGCTGTAGGTGAGGGGGCGTATGAGGATGTGAGAAGCACAGGCAGACCCATCAGAGCCAGCCCAGGTAGCCCACAGATGGTTCTGGTGGAGCACAGCTCTTCCCCAGGGAGGTGGGCTAAGCCTCAGCAGCCCCGCCCAATGGAAAGAATGCCCTTAAGGAACGTGTGGTCAGGAGACATCCCCAGGCTGCAATCCTGGGCCCGGCTAGGCACAGCCATGTCTCACACCACATGAGGAGCGACAGAAGGAATTCTCTTCCACTTCTTCTGTTCAGTAAAGATCGGGACTGGATAGGCCAGATTCTATCGAGCTACCAGAGAAGGAGCTTAGGGCTCCTGGACAGACAAACACACCCACTGTGTCCCAGGCATCCCCCTCCAGGTGATCTCTACGTCCCACACTCTTCTCACCAAACAGAGGTGACATGAGACCCAACCCTACCTGCCTGGGGTAGGCTTGGGAGATAATCCTCATCATTGTGGAAAAGACATCATTAGAGATACTAACTAAAGTGAGGGATTTCACACACACACACACACACACACACACACACACACTCCCAGGAGGCCAGATCAGAAAAGATGGGGGGAGCCCTTTCAGAGAGGGGAGCTAGAGAGGACATGTGGGCCTCAGATGCCCCCAAGCCCAGACCACAGGAGCTAAACACATTGACCTGCTTCACCGCCCACCCAGCATGGGGGCACAGAAGAGCTGCGCTGGGTGACGCCCGCATGCCGAGTCCCTGCCTGCAGACACTATGGCCTCCCTCTCTGGGGCGGTGCCTCGAGCTCTAAACTTGGCAGGTCCATGAGGAGCCAAACCCTGAATGGACACAGATGGTCTGACTGGAGAGAAACGGGAAAAGGAAGCTCACTTCCGAGTCTAGCTCAGCTACCCAAGCATCCCTGGTGGCTCTAGGGCCTGTTATGCAAAGAGAAAAGCCCCCTGAAGAAAGAACTTTCCTGCGGGGAAATCACCAGAAACGCCCCGGCTCCCTAGACCTGCGCATCCCTCGGAAGCATCCCCCGGCAGAGTGAAGCCAGCGTCAGGTAACCAACACCAGGTGCCGGACACAGAGATGGAGTTCACCAGGCGCACACATGGCCTGAGGCAGAGGGTCCAGGAAGGCAAGATCTCCCCTCCCGACGTGGCTGCTTCTGTTGGCCAAGAGACTGCAGGTTTATTTCCGTCACAGGCCCGTGCATATGCACACGCACTCACGCACACACACCCCTAGTATCTAGGAAGGGAAATTCTACCTCTTGTTATAACCAAGTTACCCCGCTTCCTGACCTTAAAAAATAAAAATAAAAAACCCAGTGGGTTTCCTTTGAAGGTTTCAAACCTGATTAGCCACAGTAAAATGATGCTTTAATGGGGCTGTGATGGTCCCCGCCTCGGGTGTCTGTGTACGCAGCCGTATTACTTAGCAACACCATAGCCGTTTAGGTTTAATTTCCTAGCTTGCCTGATAAGGAGGCTGCAAATGTAATTTGTGGTGCCGCAAGCTGGGCAAACACGTGGGGCTATTAGATGAGTCACCGGGGGATGCAGGCCACTGTGCCGAGCTCTGCGGAAGAGGAGAAGCGAGCCCTGATCTGCGGGGCTGATAGGTACCCCCCGGGCGCGCACAGCTTTCCGAGCGTGTGGGGGCTGTGCGGCCTTCACTCGGCCGGTCTGGTCCGGTGCCATCATTTATTCAGGGAAGCTTCGCTCGCCTCTCAGCCCTTGTTAGGATCAGCTTCTAGCTTTCTGAAATCCACAATTCAGACCTACAAACTCAAGCCCTGCAAGACCAGGTGGTCAGATGATGATAAAACAGCAATAACAACAAACATTTTTTACTCGATTCTAGTTGCTTTACATGAGTTATCTCTGTTAATTTTCCTTAAAAAAACAACAACCAGGAGTCAGGCACTACTGTTATTCCGATTTTCAAATGGGGAGACTGGCAGGGGAGGGTAGTAGCACATAAGACAACAGAGAGAAGGGGTGTGACTGCCCACTGAACCAACCAGCCAGATCTCCCACTGTTCTAAAGAACAGGAAATACAGATTTTTATATAAAATGCCCTGAGTTTTAAACATCTGCAACTAATTCAGCTGTTTAACAAATACTGTAAGAACCAAACCCCAAACATATCTACCAGCCAGATTCGGGCCAAGGCCCACCAACAAGTAGGCATATTTACCAATAAATACACTCCAATTTTTAATCTTTGCTCCCAGGAGCCGTTGGTGTCCCAGCCCTTGGGTCGTCCCTCAGCTGTATCCTTCCTGGAGCCTCAGTGGTGCTCCATTCTTCCCGCTGCTCAGGCTCACAGTCTTAGAGTCCCCTGGGCACCTTCCCTTCTCTCACACCTCACATGCCATCTGTGAACAGATCCTGTCGGCTCTACTTAAAATCTATCCACAATTCCTCCACTTCTCACACCCTCACTGTGGCCAGCCTGGTCCAAGTCCCCATCATTTCTTACCTTAATATCATGAGCTGCCTGCCACACCCAGCTTCCCCCTTACTCCATTCTCAACCAGACCAGCGGGTTTAAGTCAGATCCTGCCACTTCTCTGCTCAACACCCTCCAATGGCTCCTGTCTCACTCAATCGAAGTCGAGCCCCACGTCCCACCTGTCTCCCCTGCACCCCCTGTACTGCAGACACACTTGCTGTTGCTCCAACACACCAAATGCGCTCCAGCCTCGGGCCCTGCGACCCATGTTGCCTTGGTATCTCTCCCCACAGGTGTTCTCTTGGCTCTCGCCCCTCTCTTTGCCCTATTCAATTGCCACCTAGTTAGAAAGATCTTCCTGGACCACTTCTCCTAATTAGCAACCTCCCCATCACGCTCCCTCCCCTTGCCCTTACCACTTATCACTACAACATGCCATATATTTGCTTGTGTTCTCTCTCTTCCCTCTAGAATGCACCCGCCATAAAAGTAGGGAATTTGTTTTCTTCTAGGCTCTATCCCAGGTGCCTAGAACCATTCCTGATACATAGCAGAAATTCATTAAATATTTGTTGAATGAATGAAGAAGTGAATGGTCCACACAACGGGCCCTTATGAGAGCTCCGGCCTTGGCCTCAGCTTCACTCTGTGTGCACATGGAGGACAGCAGGCTCCCCACTAGCTACACTCACCTCCGCCACAAGCGCAGTAAGACGCCAGATTGATTACCTGCTGAAAACGACCAGGAGATGGTCCCTGCTCTCACCCACCTACTGTGTGGAATAGGAACTTGTGATCTGTGTGCATCTTGTCCTGGCTAGAAGGAGCAACAGCTTAGTCATGACGGAGGTGAGTTTTATAATTATAATTTATAGTCTTGATGAGACATGACAGGTATTGTGTGAGAGTAGAACATTTTAATCCTAAATTACAAGACTGGATAAAAGTGCTTTATTCGTTTACCTACAGAATTTGTTGGCTTTATTTTTATTTCTGTATTTATTTGAAAGCTCATCTATCCCAGGAAGGTAGCCATCTATGACGTAATCCTGAATATTCTTTCACATAGACAGGGTCAGAGAATATAGGCTGAATGATTCCAACTCCACCCCGATCCTCCAGAAAGTCTGCACAGAGCTGCGGTGATTCGTCGCAAGTTCCCTCCATGGACCTCCGTGAACCCTGCATGCCATCCGCCAGCCCTCCACACAACCCAGGTACACCTCCTTCTGGGGCAGGGCCCTGATTCGCCACAGGTGATGTCCTGAATGTTTTTCCTTCCTTGGCCACTAAACACCCAGCTCAATAAGAAGGTACGCCAGGATGCCAGGATGACCCTCCCCAAAGCTGAAGCTTACTTCGGAAGGAAGGTCAGCCAAGAAGCCAACCAGACATACACCTACGTAGAAGGGAAAAGCATCACCCAGCAGTTTGGACTCTGAAGCTGATAGAGAAGAATCGAGGAGCATGTACAGCGGTTTAGCCCAGGTCTAAGTCATTGGGGGGAGGGCGTGGGGGTAGATGCACGGACCCATGCATTTGCTGAGGAACCCAGGACGTGGCATCTCCATTTGATTACCTTCTCTGTATCCCAGTCTCTCAACACCTTTTCATCATCGCCTCAGAACTCTCACGCCCATGCTTTCCTCGAATGTTTGTTGAAAAGGTCCCACTTTAGGCATAGGTCCCACCCATCATTACTACCCTCTCACCCCCAGCTACCTCTCAGAGGATGTGACAGGATATTATCCTGGCATGCCCACAGTCTCGCCTCTTCTGCCAGTTGGCCAAAACCAAGCCTGCATTTGCCAGGTGACCAAGCCTGCATCTGCTAAGAATGGTATTTACATTTTTTAATGATTGAAAAAAATATTTCATGATACATAAAAATGATATGAGATTCAAACTTCAATGTCCATAGTTACACTGCATTGGATCACAGCCACACTCATTCATTTACATATTGTCTATGGCGACATTCACACTACAATGGCAGAGGTGAGTACAGTTGACCCTTGAACACATGGGTTTGGGATCCATTTATATGTGGATTTTTAAAAAATAATTATGGTTGGCCTTTTGTATCCCATTCATGGATTTAACCAATTATGGATTGAAAAACTGTGTTTTCACTCTGTGGTTGGGAACCCACAGATGCAGAGGGCTGGCTAGGTGCATGGTTCTAGGCCAGGGGTGGGTAAACTTTTTGACTCGAGGGCCACGATGGGTTCTTAAACTGGACCAGAGGGCCGGAACAAAAGCATGGATGGAGTGTTTGTGTGAACTAATATAAATTCAAAGTAAACATCATTACATAAAAGGGTACGGTCTTTTTTTTTTTTTAGTTTGCCCACGGCTGTTCTAGGCCATTTTACATAAGGGACTTGAGCATCTTTGGATTTTGGTATTCAAGGGTTCCTGGAACCAATCCCCCATAGATACCAAGGGACAACTCCAGTTAAGTTTTAGAAGAATTAAAAGTTATACACAAATTTTCAACTTCTCAGGGTTGGCATCCCTAACCTTGGGCTTGTTCAAGAGTCAATTGTAGTTGCAACAGCAACTGTGTGACCAGCCAAGCCTAAAATATTTACCATCAGCCCTTTATAGGAAACGCTTGCCAACCATGATCTAGAATTCTAGAAGGCCTCTGGCCCAGCCAGCATGGCTCGGTGGTTGAGCATCGACCTATGAACCAGGAGGTCATGGTTCAATTCCCCGTCAGGGCACATGCCCAGGTTGCAGACTCAATGGGCACGCCCAGTGTGGGGCATGTAGGAGGCAGCCGATCAATGATTCTCTCTCCTCATTGATGTTTCTATTTCTCTTTCCCGCTCCTTCCTCTCCAAAATCAATAAAAATATATTTTAGAAGACCTCTGAGTTACAAATAAATAAAATGCAAAAATTCAGGCCAAATAAGTTTAGGTCAGAGCAACGATTCTTTAATTTCATCCAAGAATTCTCATACTTCACCTTTATACTTTGTTTTGCCCAAACATTACTTTAGTTGTAACATTCAAAGATATTTCAAGTAATCATTACAGATACTATGCTTACCTTTATTTTCTTGGCCCCATATATGTATGTAAAAATATAGGTATATTTTTAACTTTTAACAAAGTATGTACAGGCACATAATTTTTCGAAAGTCAAATAGAGAACAGAAAGCTTTTAATTTAAGCAGGAGTCCTCCTCCACCTCCCCACTTAAGGAGACAACTCCTTAAAAGTCATTTACCTATTTCTCCTTGCAGTTACTTAACTAAAAATTGTGCTTAATTGCTCTTCTTGATTGATCAATTTAGCTGTTATCCAAATTGTCATGACAGGCGAGAACTGAACTCATACTCCTGCCTCCCAAAATAGAGGTTACCTCACAATTTTTAGTTAACTCAATAATCAGTGCTGACATAATGACTATGTAAATATTTGTCAGAGACGGCCCTGGCTGGTTTGGCTCAGTGAATAGAGCATCAGCCTGTGTACGGAAAGGTCCCAGGCTCAATTCCGGTCCTGGGTTTGATTCTGGTCAAGGACACGTACCTCAATTGCAGACTAGATCCCAGGCCCTGGTCAGAACACGTATGGGAGGCAACCTATCAATGTGTCTTTTTTACTTTGATGTTTCTCTGTATCTCTCCCCCTCCCTTCCACTCTCTCTAAGAATCAGTGGAAATATATCTGGAGTGAGGATTAACAACAACAACAAAAACTGTCAGAGACAAATAGTGTTCCATGGTTTTATTTCAAACCTATACTTCATTTGGTTTTGTTTCATGTGCTTACAAGCTAAGAAGAGGGACTCTGTGTCGCAATACTTACCAGAAGGTCTAGGTCTTCAATAATGATCTTCTCCAAACTCAGTACACTGCAGTCTATCAGAGCAATTACACATCTATAAAACAAATTATGGAAATGCTTTAAAAATAAACAGTCTGTTCAGAATTACAGGAACTCAGGCCTGAACCTCCCTTCTGAGTCATAATATTTCATGTGGCTTTTATGAGGTAGAGTTTGGGCCTTTGGTTTTCAATTCTAAGGGAAAAGAGTAAGAGGAAAGGGGTGTGGACAACAGTTCTGCATCCCTCACTTCATCTGCTTACAGACTTTACCAAATAACGAATTCCCCCGGCCTCCCTACTCCAATCTAACGTTTAAGAGAATCAACCCAGCCCACAGGCTCCTCTTAGAATGAGCTGCTAGCTAAGCCCTTGAGGTGTTCTCAATAAGAACCGAGCAAGTGGGTGAAGAACCAAGATGGCGGCATAGGTTAACGCTGGAGTTTGCCGCCTCGAACAACCATTTCAAAAGTGAAACTAAAAGACGGAAGGGACATCATCCAGAACCACAGGAACGGTGGCTGAGTGGAACTCCTACAACTAGGAGGAAAGAGTAACGCATTCGGACACTCAGAGGAGGCGCAGTGCTGAAGGCAAATTCTGAG